TCTTATAATCTGAAACATGCCATTTTAAGACCTGGAATAACACGTTTCTTTATGGAGTGTCAGACTCAAATACTTCTTCATCTTTGCAACCTGGAGTTGTAAAACCTCCAACCCAAATACATCTTCATCTTTTTTCATTGTTGCATTTTTATATGCATTATCTGACTGTTGGGATTATAAATTTCTCAGAGGAAATGGCCAGGTCTTTGTTTCTTTGGAGTCAAATCTCTTATCTACCATGTTGCTAGGAACATAGTATGTGCTCATGAAATAGCTGAGCAGGCCGTATGTGCCCTGGCTAATAGCACTGGCTTTGGACTCATAGTCCTGGGTTCAAATTCAAGCTCTGTCATTTCTTGCCCGGTAACCTATGTTACATTATTTAACCTCACTGAACTTTCTGTTTCTCCATCTGTAAAAATTGATACAATAAAATCTAATCCTCACAGAGTTGTGCAGACTGAATGAAATTATCCTTATAAAGCACCTAACAGAGCCCTTGACATGAAGGAACGTGATCAAACTTTTATTATTTTTTTAGAGACAGGGTCTTGCTCTGTCACCCAGGTTAGAGTGCAGTGGCGCAGTCATAGCTCATTGTAACCTCGAAATCCTGGACTCAAACTGTCCTCCCGCCTCAGCCTCCTGAGTAGCTGGGATTATAGGCATTTGCAACTACACTTGACTAATTTTTTTTTCTTTTTTTAATCTTTTGTAGAGATGGAGTCTTGCTGTATTGCTCAGGCTGATCTCAAACTCTTGGCCTAAAGCGATCTTCCCACCTCTGCCTCCCAAAGCGCTGGGATTTCAGGCATGAGCCACTGCACCCAGCCTGGCCATTTAAAATGAAAGCATTCTAGTCTGTTATCATCCATAGAAGTTACTGAAATTAATCCACAGCAGGGGCATATTATAGGACTTGGGTCATTTTAAGGTAGTCACTTGAAATTAGAGTCCTAATTCTAAAAGTGTTAAGTAGAAAACACGAATTTGCTTGTTCGTGCTTTCTTACAAAGTTTAGGTTGTGGACATTTCCTAAGTCAGTGTGTCTGCGTGAATAAAAATAACCTGTGTTGGATGACCCAAACCATTCTCCATGAGTGAGTCTGTGCCTTTAAGGTCGCGTTAAATGACTGTGCTCTTCGTGTTAACAGTCAAGATGAAGAAGAGCAGGACGGCTTTCCGGAAGTACAGACGTCGCCTCTGCCGTCACCGTTTCTTTCTGCCATCATCGCTGCCTTCCAGCCCGTGGCATGTGACGACGAAGAGGAAGCCTGGCGCTGCCACGTCAATCAGATGCTGTCTGACACCGACGGCTCCTGCGCCGTGTTTACGTTTCACGTGTTCTCCAGGCTGTTTCAGGTCAGGACGGTTTGAGATTTCTGAATTCGTGTTATACTTACCTAATCAGGTGACAGTTTTTCTCCCAAAATCAGTATTCCAGGTTTTAATATTCCTACCAATTTTTTCTAAGCTAAATTTACACTGTGACATTCCAGTGCTGCCGGTACTTCGTTTAACACAAATCTCTCCCCTAAGGCAATAAAAATAAAACTTCAACGTCTGATAAATGTCACAGATCAGCTCATAATCAAGGGTTAAATTAATTGGCACTTGTATTACACTGTGGGGACCTTAAAATTTTTAGCTGTTAAGGTTGCTTCCAACCCTAATAATAATAATAACAACAACAACAACGATGATGATGATGATGACGACGACGTGAGCTAACACGTGTCAGTACTGACTACACGCCAGGCGCTATGCTACACACTTCACATTAAGTATTCTCACAACACTACTGTGGAATATAGGTATTATTTTTCAGCTCTCTGTGGAGAGGGAAACCAAGGCACAGAGAAATGCCACCATGTAAGTCATTATCTTCTGAACTGTCTACCACATGTCCTCCCCACCTAAGCAAATGCTGCCCCCCTTGGAAGAACCAGCTAAGTATTCTTCTCACTGAAGCTTTCTCAACTACTCCAACCCCCATTCGCTCTCTCCTGGAACTTCTTTCATGCTCATTAACTGGAGCATCTGTTTATTTAATTCTCTCCATACTGCATTACTACTTGGTTTTCTGTTTGTATTCTTTTCTTTCCAGTGATGTCATAAGTTTCTTCATGGCTGAGACTGTGGATTATGCTTTTTTTTTAATCAATCATAATGCCACCTAACAATGCTACACATATATAAGTAGGTACACATTAACCATTTGTATAATAATTATACCGCTAGCAATATAGTTCAATTAATTGAGTATGTCCTATGGGTCAGGCACTGATTGTTTTATGGAAATGGATAGTCTTGGATCCTGAGAAGATACTACCCTTAATGTACTTTTATAACTTTAATGAAAGTGAAGTCAGATGGCAGCCCATAACCACATTTACTGAAAGTTTCTTTCAGGTAACAACTTTGTCTTTAGAAGCACTAATTCCTTCTGACA